AGACAGACAGATAGATAGATAGATAGATAGATAGATAGATAGATAGATAGATAGATAGATAGATAGATAGATAGATAGATAGATAGATAGATAGATAGATAGAGAGAGAGATAGATAGATAGGCCCCAGCAGATTTACCCCACCAAAACAACAGGAATAACACACCAATACAATCAACATAACAGAGTCACAGTCACACCAAGTACCTTAAAAATGAAGGTCTCATTGAAAACTGGGCATAGATTCTTACGTTGGACCTTAGTCTCAAACTTCTTCTTTTTGTCTGGCAACAAAAACAGCTTCACGTAAGGGTCTGATGTTCCCCCCATGTCCATAGCAGCCAGGTCCTGGGCCTGAAGGATGCCCACTATGAGCTTTAGAGAAAGCAGGGTTGAGGCTCATCAGTATAAAGCAATGCCATTGAAATATCATGAGTTCTGTCTCTCAGAGGACTTGCCTGGGTGTCAGTGAAGTTGTAGTCCAAGGAGAACTCCAGCTTTCCTAACTTCTCCTGCTCTTTCTCTTCATCTTCCCCTGCCTCATTTTTCACTGCGCCCTCCTGCAAGACAAAAACATTGCTTTTTCAGCAACGTCGCCACGACGATCTCTCTGTCTGATTTCAATAACTGCTGACCACGTACCTTCTCTCCAGTTTCGCCTTCGTCATCTTTTCTCTTTTTGCGCCTTCCAGTTTTACTTTCCCTCACCTTCTTGGGCTTTTTCTTTTTCCCAAAACATTTTTTGATCATACAGATGATGACGCATGCCACCAAGACCAGGACCACCACAACAATGCCCCCTACTGCCCACATGGGAACTGAAATGTTAAAGAAATCATTGTAAAAACAGTTAAACCAGTGTTTCTCAAACATTCTCTGCTGGGCCCCCCTTTTGGTTTATAAGAAATTGTTCACACGTCCATCCATCTTCAACCTCTTATCCGGGGCCGGGTCGCGGGGGCAACAGTCTGAGCAGAGACACCCAGACTTCCCTCTCCCTCGACACTTCCTCCAGCTCTTCTGGGGGGACCCCAAGGCGTTCCCAGGC